TCAAAAAATCCAACACAAAAGGATTCAAGCAAACATGGTGCTACCAGTAATCAGTGCTGGAAGCACTGGAATTATGTTCTTGCCTTTGCAGTGAATAATAACCCAGTGGCATTGAGAGGCAGTCTAATGCTGAGAAATCTGCTCGGTCTAGAACTTATCAGCAGTGCAAACCCACTCAAAGGACACTCAGACATTGTGTGTGTTTATACACTGTCCACTGGAATCAATCTAATTGCAGCAGTAAACAGACTACACAGTCCCAGTCCTACCCGTCTTTTCGGAGGTTCTGCAATATTGACATTAAACAAGACTTTTCTGTCTTACGTTTGTTGCAGATCACTTATACCACAGGACAGCATATTTAGTGTACATCGTCCTTCTTCTGAAGAGCTCCATGTATTATCTCATTGTACTCTTCTTCATCTACCGAATGTGGGCTCCGACCAAGCACCGAGGAAAGAAAGCATAAACGCCGGTTTAGGAAAGGCTTACAAAATCATCTTCAGTTTGCTTTGTTATATACCTCTCCGTATAGACTGCCCTGCTCTCAGCGGTAGATGTAACAACAACAAATAACCTGGCATTAGTGCATAGGGCTTGTTTTGCTTTACTGCTGGCGTTTTTATAGCACTCTGGTTTTCCTAGTTTTTCTGAGTATTGAACTGAGGTGGGCAATAGGACTAAGGTTAGATACCTTGGATTTTAGTCTGAAGTCCATATTGCAAAACGAGGAAGGTACCCATGTTAAAAGTAGTTATGCATGCAGAAGTTCAGAGGTGTAGCAGGCCTTTTGACATATAAAGCCCAGATGCGTTTTGTCATTGCGCTTAAGGCTTAATTGGGAACATTCCTGTGCTGTAAATTCACAAGTATTTGTTCATTTTTACTTTCAATAATTTTTTTGCAACTCTCACTTACCCACTTAATCAGGATTTAAATATTTTGAAGTCAAGTGTGCTTTAAGAGTCAATTAAACACAGTTTTTAAAAGTGAACATAGCATTTTCGAATTAAGAAGTTAGATGAGCATAAAAGCAATTCTCGCTGTATCTGTAACGATGGAGAGGGCGATAAAAGCTTTCCTCCAGGTGCCTTTGTGAGGCCTGTGTTTGTTCTCCAGCATTGCTACAGCATGTACCAAGATGGCTAGAAAACATGATTTATTTCTCTGTCCATATAAATTCTTCAATAAATCAAAGGTCCTTAAAACCATCAGTTTTCTGCTTTTCAAACTGGAAGACTTTTGCACAGAACAATGGAAGCTAGCTCATTACATCCTCTCTGTTGAAGAGCTAAGCCAAGCCAGGGAGAAACGCAGTGCTGTTACAACCGGACTGCCTTCTAGGGCTCACGCCATAGCAAGGGAAGGAGAACATAAGTCAGGCTCAGTTCTAACAGCCACAGCTATTAACAGCATATCTTACAAGCTACTTTACAATCTGCATATTGAAGCCATTGCAACTAATTACTGCCTTCAACACTACGTTACTCTTCAATACGAAGAAAGATGTGGTGTCTAGTCTTTAGTGAAACTCTCTTTGAGAAACAGCTGATATCCCACGCTATTATTTGTTAAGCCTCGGTTCTAATCAAAGTGAAATAAGTTAGCTACAAAGGTATTTTTGGAATGCAGTTACTGTAGATTTCAGTAGCATCATTGATATTTCTGTCCTGGTCTCCCCTACCTTTATCCCTGCTAGAGACACACTTGATTGCATTAATGAACCAAGACCTCTTTCACTAAAACGATTCCCAAATCCACTTCTTGTGCCTCACACACAAAACTGAAAGATGCTGTCCATGCAGTGCAGGAAAACAGAGAGAAAACATAGCTTTTTCAGCTTTTTGCACAAAACCCCCTCCCTACTTGTAACCCTAAACCGTGCTGAGTATAACTATCACCCCTCACAGTTTCTGGGGCTTCTCAAGTACCCGGTTGCAGGTTTTATATCTGCAACAGCTCACATGTCCCTGAAGTTTATGTAGATATGTTCTGTACATATTAAGTTTTTAATTTTTATTTATTTAGCTCAAATGAGAGGACAAGTTAAGGCTGCTGGGGCACTTGTTTGTAGGAAGGTTTGGTTATTTAGTGGAAAAACCCTGTAAACTGAACCAGTCACAACTAGTTCAGAGGAGGTGGGCTGCGATGAGAATGGGTGATAAGCTGAGGACAGTTAGACCACAGCCGTCCTGCCTTTTACCACAGTATACTTCTAAACCATTTCCTTCTAATGGAAATACAAAGTGATAAAAACCACATGCCTAAGTTACATGTAAATAACACAGTGAAACTCGCTGTTCAGTACGCATGTTGGTCTAACTGCATGCTTGTGATATGTACGTGTAGGGGCTATTGCTACCACAAAACCATGGGTGCTGCAGGATGCCTGCAGGATTTGCAGTCTTATTTATCAAGAGTGCACACCAGAGTTAGATGTTATCTATTAAGCATAAACTTCTGTTGTCAGGATCTTGTTAACACTTGAAAGACACGTCTTCTCACGTACCTATCTTGCCACAACTGATTTTCAGTGATTTCAAGCTTCTGCAAGTATGAGCATTACAGCTGTTCTACTCCTGTTATAGAGTTGCAGAATTAATGCAAACACTACAAAAATGGTTACAGGCAATCTGGTGGTTCTAACGAAAAGGCAGAACTGGATCAGCTTTTGCTGTGAAAGCACAAAGGAGTAATCAGCCCAAATGAATTTATTTGTGGAAAGGGATTTGCAATGTATTCTTTATCTTGCTAGAATAATTTTTTTGTCCCACAGTGTACAACAACTTCCACGCTTGAGAACACTGACTTCTCAACTACCAAAATACCCTACAACAGGTAATATGGAAAACTACCTGTGAATTACTCTTACTCGTAGTTGTAAATGAGAAAGATCTGCATAAGCATTATAGCAGTCTGCCAACAGCTAACTTCTGTTGATACTAGGTACCACACTAATAAATTTCAAGAGAGATTCTAATAGTGGACTATTCAGCTTGAGATTTTGAAACTGCTGGGGCACCCGCACACACCTGGAAAGTGCTGAGGAAATCTTAGACAAATATTTTGAGAATTTGTTCCTTTGCACCTATAGATATTTACAGGGAAATAGACCAAATGATAGTTAACAGCAAGTAATTGACAAGTTTTACCTAGTGAGTCCAAACAATCATTAAATATAGTTCCACCATAGATAGCTTTTACTTCATTGTATTACCAGTCTCTTGATAAAGTATACAATACAACACTTTCCAGTAATTACCTAGTTCTTGGAAGATTAACCTCAGGAACTACTGAATACATCTTGGACAAAAAATTTCATACCACCTGGGAGGCAAGCTAATACACATATGTCAGGAAAATACACCTTTGTGGGATATTACAGCACATGGGAATCATTCCCTTCGTTTACTAATTAATAAACTCTGCTGTCAGCAGCTCTACCAGCAAGTCAGCCACAGACTCTGTTGCCACAGTTTCCAAATCCCAACAACTTCCCCCAGAGAGTTTCTTTTACAGAAGTCAGGATGAGAGTCAAGTCAACTGATACTGAAAACGGGGAGGCTCAAAAGAAAAGGCTACCCACTGTTCCCAGTGAGCACTAGAAGATTTCAAATCAGAAGCTTCAGCTTCTCAAGAAGATTTTATTCCTCCCCCAGCTGAAGCTTTTGTCATTTGTGGCAATCTGAATGCATGGGTGTCATGCTTTAACCCCAGCCAGCGACTAGGACCATGCAGCTGCTCGCTCACTCCCCCTTTTCCCTCCAGAAGGGTAGGCAGAAGAGGAAGAAAATGAGGGAATCATCTCTCATACTCAACCAAAGTGCACTACAAAAAGATAGAGGTCTCTGCTGTCACAAAGTGCTCAAAGGCCCCTAAAAGAAACCTTAGGTGGTCACAGGGCTACGTGCCTGGAGACAGCTCCTGTGGGAGGCACTGCTTTGCAGGAAGGTGGCTTGATGGATTGGTCACTTCAGGGAGACTTTTCCTTTCCTTTCCCAGAATAGCATAATTGCCGACCATTTTGAGGCTCAAACTGTAAAATAACAGTAGGAATAAACTGTTTCCAGGCTGATTTTGTACATGCTACTAGCAGACTGATTACTCATAAACAGAGACTTCTTTAGTCCCTTCCCCTTTAATATCAAATCTCTAACCATTTTCACATAAAGTAACGTAGTTTTGTCTCTCATACCCGTAAATGGTGTTTGAACCAACACTGCTTGACAGCTGGGGCAGACTAGCAGAAAGAAAGTGCACAAGCTGCTACTGAGGCTCAAGTGTCATCTCCCTGAGCTCAGAGCACCGACAGTCACAGGCCCCTTGCCACCACTTGCAATATGAGGCACGGTAGCTGAACACACACGCGGCATTAACCTGGGTAAACAGCAACGGACAACACATGAGCTCGCTCAACTCATGCACGCGGGCAGGGAGGAAGAGAAGGAAGAGAAGGAGGGGGAGTCAGAAACGTCATCCATTTCTATCTTCAAGTGCAGTCACAAATACAGGAACAAAAGGAGAAGGTTTCCAGTGATCATACAGTCTTTCAAAACTTTCTATCTTCAAGTGACCATTATACCCACAGCAAAAGGCTGGACCTCCTCTTAAAAATATTAACAGCTTATGTCCTGCAGGTTTAATCTGCCTTTTTTTTTTTTTTGAAACACTGTTTCAATCAATATTCCTCAAGCCAGCAAAACCAGATCACTGAGCCTCTGCTAAGTTTTACTAACGTACATTTTCCTTTTGAGTCATTAATGTGGTTTTAGTCCACAGTACTCCCAAGGATCATGACACTGCATAAGGTTTCGAGAATCTCCACATAAGAAAGACTGGACTGTACCTGGAGCCCCCGCAGCCTGCGTGGTAAGCAGGTATTTAATTTGTGGCCTGTATTGCTGTAACCCAAGTTTTCCCCGTCCTAAGTATCTCCTGTGTCAAAACCAGACCTTAATTAGCAGTGCACTGGTACAGCACAGCGTTGTACTCTTCGTTGTCCTGATGCTTCATTACCCCTAGACAGAGCTGTAAGTCACTTCTTGTTCCAAGACACAGCAAGGTTTCTTACTGATTTAATTTACTGACTTCTAACTCTTCTTGAGAAAGCTTTTAATATCTGTCTTAAATATACTCCAATGTCTAGTAGGAACATCTCTGAAGGTGCTTTCTGAAACAAAGGCCTGGCAGGAACAAAAATCCCTTCTTCAGCAAAGGGTCTTCCAGCCTCATTCATCATAGTGAAATGCTAGGTCAGAAAGCAAGGGGCTGCCGAGTTTGAGAAGCCAGATAACTATCACCTCCAACACTGTAGCAAAAGTGGCAGCTCAGATTCCTGGCAGATTAGCTCTCCGCAGGACACGGGGCCAATAGTTCTATTTCCTACCCAACACCATTGAGACTGGGAACAACCCTTGGGGAACCATTAAGGTGAACATCATTAAGGCATGAGACAGCGCTGTCAAAAAA